CCACAGCCCCCCCCCCCAACTCATCCATAATCATCCCAGAGGGTCTCAAGTCCCCACGACAGTCTTACTGGATCCAGGAGAAAAAGCTGGCACCAGTTCTAGCGGCATTTCTGGTACGGATGGTGGAACTGGTGCTGGGGCCATCCAGGACGCTGGTGCTGGCCCCACCGTTGGTACCAGCGCTCACGCCAGCTCTCCACGTGGCTCTCCTGTTGGCACGGCTGCTATTCAGGATGTACTGGTGGTACCTGGCCCAGAAGGCAAAGGGGATCCTGGCCCAGGCATCGCCAAAATCCCCATCTTCATCCCAGGTGAGCAGTTCGGCCTGTATGTCATCCCAGCTCCACCGTCCAATCAGAGCTTCATCTCCGATGTTCATCTGGGCCCTCATCTGGGCCCTGGCATGTTCCTCAGCCATATCCATGTCCATAATCTTGAAAGCATCATCCACAGCCTCCAGAAAATGAGCCTTCCACTCCCGGGGATCTCGGTTCTGGTGCTGAGGTGGGGGAGAGCAGACGGCCATAATGCCAGGGTTACTTCACTGTCCAGGCACTCCTCGTGCCAGCCACACCTTCCCGTGCTCACGCTCTAACACGCCCAGCAGCGTGGCAGCTCCCACGTTCTCCAAGGTTAGCGGGCAGCATGACCCTGGCCTGAAAAGCCCGGGTTCCCACTGTTTTGAGCCAGAGCTGGGACCACCCCCTAAACCCCACGCCACGGCCCCTGCGAGCCTGCGTAAGAAACTCAGCAACCTCGCAGGGCCTCTGCAGAGGAAAGAGGAAAGGTGGCGACCGAGGAACAAATCAGGCAGGGCAAGCGCCAGCCTGCTGCTGGCATCTGACGGGTGCTCTCTGGTACCTGGGCGATGAATCTCAGGACCCTCATCTTGCTGGTCTCGTGACAGGCTCTCAGGCCCCAGAGGAACTCATACTCCGGCGGGCTGCTGCTGGGGACCTTCTTGTATTCCAGGTACCTGAGTGTGAGAGGGAATCAGCCTTTGCTGCTCACCGAGCTGAGCTGTGGCGGAAATGCTGTGTTCCAGGCAGGCTCTCCTCGGCCAGAGTGCTGGCAGCCCCTCTTGGAAGAGGACGCCACAGCCTCAGGCCTGTGTTCCTGCCTGGAAGCCCTGTCTAGATTCAGAGGTGACACGTGTAGGGCATTTGCTCATTGGGAGGTCACAAGGGTTGTGCCCCTCTTCACAACGGCCCTGGGTTGCTGTTGGGTGTGTTGTAAACAGAGGAGCCATTCTTCGGAACCTCTGCTCTGAGCACACCCCATGGCAAGGCTCCCCAAAGAGGGCTGGCTGAGTCTGGGCAAGATGCACTTCAGAAAATAGAAACATTCAGCCAAGGTTAGCTACACTACATGCACAGCCTTCATCTCCCTCGCTCGCTTTCAGCGCTTTCAATGCTAACAAGCAGCTGG